AGGGATCTAGAAGGTACTTTTTACATTGGACGCAAGAGCCGGAGACAGAGATGTGAGATCGACGCAGAGATGACGGATTCAGATTTCTGGAGTCTGATCGATGGACCGTAGAGAGGACTAGGAAGAGATAAGAGACACTCACAATGAGAGAGACGAGCGGAGGAGAGAAAGGAGAGGATGAGAGACGAGAGAGACGAGAGAGACGAGAGAGACGCGAGAGAGAGAGAGCCGAGCGAGGGATGAGAGAGAGAGGGAGAGAGAGAGAGACGAGAGAGAGAGAGAGGAGAGGAGAGAGAGAGAGAGAGAGAGAGAGAGAGAGAGAGAGAGAGAGAGAGAGAGAGCATCTGGTGCTAGCTCAGACCTAACGGATATTAGAAGCTGTTTCTACAACAAGCTGGAGGGAGAGTCCTCTCCTGTCAGACTGAGAGGCTGATAACTACAGCTCAGGTGATGTAAGGGACTCTCTGAGTCATTGGATAGTTAACTTTAGTCTAAGTTATCTTAGTGAGTTTCAAATTCTTTGGTCATCTATGTAAACAAATATTTCCAATGCACACCTTTACCTATTTAATATAGTTGTAAAAATTAAAGTAATAAATCATTCCAATGTGTACTATAGCAGCGGTTCACAAACTGTGGTCCGCGGTACTGCAGGTGGTCCGTGGGAAAAAGCTAAATAAAATCCACTTTTTATTATCAAGGATTTTCGGGGACCACCTCATATGTGACCTGCTCTATCGAAATCAGTCGCATCGACCCGAAGACACATTTTGAGTTGTATACACTGTTGGAAAGAGGAGATTCCTAGCTTTCTAATGATATCAGGCAGTGGGGTAGTGGTCGTTGGACGCGGGGGTTTGCCGTTCCCCCACTTATTTGGAGCCCCCACTTTTTTGAAGCAGTATTTTTTTTGAATGGTCTAATAAATGTAAATTCACCCGGCCCTGGTGCGAAGCATCCGGACCCAAGTAGACGGAAGGAATGAGGTATTTGCGGTCTACAATGACAGAGAAGAAACTGTCAAGTTTGGCTGTACTCAGCATTGAATCAAAACGCACTAAAGCTTTAGATCTTAATCAGTTTGTGAGGCGTTTTGCTGAACAAGATGGTAATCGCCGCATTCAGCTGTTATAGGCATGTTAACTTGATGCTCTGCTCACAGATGACTCCATGAGCATAAAAAACTGTTACGATGATGACCTTACGTGTGTAAATATATCTTTTTCTTTGTGGGGGTCTGCCCCCAAAATCAGTTTTAAGTCCTGAGAAAGTCAAATAAGACGGTGTGTAAAACTACACTGTGTCCCCCCCACTTCTCAAACCAAAGTAACTTTCTCCCCCCCCCCCCTGCACGGATCGCCATCATCGGACCGCCCTCATCCCGCCCTGGCAGCACCCCCCCAAAGCAGTAATCCTAGGGGAAACACTGACAACAATTGTCCGTTAGAATAAATGTTCAGTGACCTTCAGTACATTTCATTTCACACACTGGCATCAACATGAGAAATTGTGTAAAAGGGGTCTGAATATATTGTAGCTCTACATTTCCTCATTTTAGGCAATAAAGGAAATCTTGTGGAGCTGCCACTTGCTGCTGGAGCGATTCCATTCAGTGTCCATGCACACTGTATATATTTAATTACACACTCCCTTCCACTGCGTCTGAGCCAAACAAGGCTCAACTTTAATGAAATCCACAGGAAACAAATACAAGGACCAGGATATGCAGTGCCAGACAGGCGTCTTTCAAAGCAGACACTGCACAGGAGATTGTTTAGTCTGCAGAAATGAGTGTTGAGGGCTGAAGTAGTTAGACAACTTTAAAATGTTTGTCTGGAGCAAAAAATGCAATTGTATACTGCTTTGCCTAGTTGTAGTACAAACCTGGGAGCAGAGAATTGTAATCATTTTGCAAAGAATGACTTAGCAGTTCAATTCAATAAACAGCAGCTAATATAAATCCTAAAAACTACACTGCAAAGCTGCAAAGACCACTTGGACCAGATCAACCAAGGTTTTTTCAAAATAGAGAATGCTGAGGAGGCTTCCTCGTCAAATTGTAAGCTCTCGACAATACTATAGAGTGGCGAAGTCACGCCTGTGTCCATGGGACCTTATTTCGGAAAAATTATGTATTGAAGTCAATGAAGAGAGAAAACGTATCTTTCGATCCCTTTGAATTGTGCCATGAATTACACATATGGTGTTTGTCAATCTTAAAAAATCATTTCCATGAGATTTATTGACAATAAACACATTTGAAAAGTGGGGGGGACACAAACGGGATTTGGAAAAGTGTGGGGAACATGTCCCCCCTGTCCCCAGTGGAAATTACGCCCATGAACTACATTAAGTGTAAATATCATCAGTGTAATGTTTTCAGATTTGAAGATATGGCTGTTAGAATAATTAAATATTTTGTGAGTGAGAGAATCATGAGGGCAAGTGAAAAGGGCAGACATCGGCTTTAAACCATTTCTTAGCAATCTATTTGTACCAAGCGGCAAACTCTGGGGCAGAGTCGGGAGGCCAATAAGGAAGTGCCTCAAACTACAGTTCATCTAGTGGCCAGTAGGAGCAGTCTGCAGAAGGGAGCAATTTCCATAGACCCCCATGTTCAAAAAACCATATTCTCTGTATAGTTAGATTCCCCCTTCATGACTACTGTGTGGGGGATGAATTGTTTTTATAACGCAACCCTTTTAGTTATATTAGGTCTTGAA